CTAAACGAATTCCATCAAGTTCAGGCTTTGCAATCACTTGACATCCCAGACGTGACCTGAAAATTTGACAACATTGAGCCCTTTAATAACATCTCATAGAAATTGTCATGGCAGGTTCATGACAGAGGAACCTACGTTTCTGAAAGCTCAAAAGCCAGATCCAGCATGTCATTCTCTTCATCAGTCGGGTCCTCCAATTTGTTGTAGTATTCCATGTCCTACCATGGTTATCAATAGCTATTCTGCATAACTAGGTAACTTATAAAATTGTTGTGCAATTTCCAGAAAAAAGTTAGGGTCGGTTACCATACCATCACTATTACATGACATGTTGAACAGGCAAGTGAAGCTTCACATGCTCCTGAAACAAGAATACAAGCAGACATTAAATTTTGAAACCATGATGAAAAACTAGACATTGTCCGATGCTAAATTAGTCTGTTCACTGGTTCAAGCAAAATAGTCAATCCATAACAAAAGAAGATTAAGAAAACAGAAGTCAGGAAAAGAGCCCCACCAGAAAAGGTTGGAACCAGAAGTGTTTGACTACACTGGATACCATGTCACTCTTCATGCGAATCGAATGTCAGAGACAGCACACCATTAGAAAGGTATTCATTAACCAGTAAACTAACTACTCTTCAAAAAATATCCACACGTGCAAAAGAAATGATTGAAGGAAAGCCGAAAAGTACTGGACTAAGAACGAATCATAACATTGGCCAAATAAATAAAGAATGAACCACAATACTTGCCTTCAAGTTCTATATCATTTTCATGGGCAGCTTCCAACATAGACATTCCAATAGGAACGCTAATCTGCTTCTCTTCTCCATCCTTGTCAACAAATGTAACAGATATACTTCAAAATAAAGCAATTGAGTCAGAGGAAAATTAGTAAATTATAATTTCAAATTTAAATTTGATACACATACAGATTTTATGCATTTCATGTTGGTCTTCATGTTGTTTATCTTCTGGAATTAACTAATGCCATAAACTAGACTTACAAATGCCCATTAATTGGTGGTATAAGAGATATAAAGTGCAGAGATAGAGAGTAGAGGTATAGGTATCCTTGAGAGAACTTACATTTCTTCCTGTTCATTCCCTTCCTCAGAAGGACCATTTGAAGATGAGGTAGAAAAATCATGAGTCCTCTGAAATATGGGCTCAGAAGCCTTTGTTTCTAGAGGCAATTTAAACTGTACAGACACAAAAAGATAAAGAAGTTTGGACTGAGAAAAATAGTTATGATCAGCTGCAATTGATATCCATTCCATTTTGAATTCCAATTCTCCTTAGTAATTATTAGTTATCCAATTGTATAAAGTCTAACATAAACTGTAATATGTAAGATTTTTCTCAATGTTTCTCCAATTAACTTCTAAGTCAATGGTGAAGAGGGACGTGAGTGAGAAATAGATGTGACATGTGGAGTGTGGTGATGGAAGTTTCGAGAAAAAAAAATATAGATAATATAATTATTTTTGAGTACATAGATAATATAATTTTAAATCTGTTGTTTACTGGATGATTAGTTACCAATTACAATTTCTGACTATTCATTTATTTTTACAAATCTAATAGAGTTTGTATGCTTCTCATCTATACCATGTGGTCCCTCCACTTATGTATATTAAGTCCTAATTCTTTAATCTTATTTCAATTGAGTCTTTATTTCAAGATTAAAACAGTTAAATTAAATTATAAAATAATTTAATTAAAATTTGATAAACTCTCGATTTTACTGATTTAATTTTAGGATTCCAATTTCATCCAACCAATACTAGTTTACTTAAACTCTTGAGTATGACAACCTTGCTTCAAACAATTCAATAGTTTTTTCCATTTCTCCTTTTTTATTTTTTTATTTTTATTTTTATATTTTATGGTTAACCTGGATATCTAGGCCTTCAGCCTAAGTAATCCCATGAATCCTTGTTTCATTCCAATTTGATAGGTTATTATCATAAGCATTAAGCTAATAGATTTCACTTCCTGAATCTGCACAGAATTTTTCATGTAATCAGTATCAAGATTTAGCACCATTTTGCTTTCCCTTCCCCCTCTGCCAAATCCCAAAAATATCAGAACATTGGCATAGACAAAGAAATTTTCTGCGAGGAATGACTGCTTTCCCAGGGAAAGAAATTTGCACCATCTTACATGTTAGTGATATAGAATAATTAAATTCTAACAATAGGATCAATGCAGAAATTCAATGTATTGTAACTCTATTCCAATTCAGACCAGGATTTCAGTCCATGTAGAGAAGATAAAAGGAAAAAAACTAATCCCCTGCCAGCTCTTTACAAGTCTGTACGTTTCATTTCTAATGGTTATGATACTTATCAATTATACAAATATAGCATGTGGCAAACCCACAAGCTTTTGCCATAATGACAAGCTAGTAATGAGATAAGTCTGATTAAATTTCACAATTAAGGATTTTAATAACTGCTTTTTTCTCCAGTTAGCTTCACTAAAGATCCACAACTGCAGATTTCCTATAGAGCCACTGCTGGGTAAAACATCAGGATTGACATTTTGATCACTGGCATCACCTATTAGCCAGCATACTAAGCATAAAAGGCTATCCAATTTTCAGGGTGCTTGTTTTCCAGTCATTTTTAACCAAAAAGCATGTCACATGCACATCAAAGCAAATTGCAAACAAGAAAATAAAGGAATCATAGAAAGAAAGATAACTTACCAAGGAATCCTCGTATTGACTGTAAGACCTCTGTATGTAACTCCTTGTGGATATGGATAGGCATCTGCCTGCGAGAAGAGAAAAAATTGACAGTTAAGACGTGCATTTCATACAAATTCTTCAGTTTGCATTATTAGAGTTTTTAAAATGGACTCCTTATCATACCAAAATAGCCAGGTTAACAGATATAAGAAAGTTTAGCAAAAACAGGCTCCAAACACTGACCAAGTGCATTTTTTGTAACAAGTAGACATAAAATGAATCCAAAGAGAAACATACCTATTGAGAGCTCTTTGACAATTGAAGATCCAACTCTTGAAAGCATAGAGATTAACATTTTCAACGCAGTTAAATAGCCCCTGTTAAAAGGTGAGGACAAATCTTATGAGTTCACTTGCAGTCTTCAACAAACATTTTAAGTTGTAACATGAGTAAGTGAAAAAGTATGTTAATTAATAACCAATGTCTTTATCAAGATGACAATAGGAAATTGCAAAATCAAGTTAATAAATTCAACAGAAGGTCTCATAATACTTCAACTTTGAGCAAAATTGCATTTTAGGAATTTCAAAAAGCATCATTTTTGTCCTGAACCTTTAAATTCTTTATTTGGATAACAATTTCTGAAATTGGATTTGGTAGCATTGTCATTTATATGTCTTTTGACCTGCCACAAGGTAAAATTTAAAACATTTAAAAAAAAAAATTATTTGGAAAAAAGGTGATTTTCAAAGGAGGCTAACCAAGATAGGCTAAATATGTAAATAGGAAATGTGTCAGTCATTATGCAATTGTTAAGAAACTCAAGGATTGAAATGTATATAACAAAAGTTCAGTGACTGCTGATAAAAAAAAAATCAAAAACAAAATCAAAATTTTATGGAATATTTAAGGATCAGTCTACAGTTTCCAGAAAGAATATAGAAAGAAAATCAAAGATTTGATCTGAAGTTAACTATAAATTTTAGTTTACAGTGTGTAAAGACTCTGGCCAAAAAAATATCAGTACCTAAAACCACTTAAACTAATCTGACTTGATTTTATTAATGGAAGTCCATCTCATTTTTCTTATTTCAATCATTTTTTTACTACGTTTATCTATTTTTACTTCAGGCTTTGTTTTTTTGGTGTTTTCCATTAATCAGGCCAACTTAAGAATCCCCTTTAGCCACAAGATCCCAAAACCCCAAACTCCTATTCCTTCATGTTTTTCATTCTTTCTCCGACCCGTTCTTTGACAAATGCTACCAAGTTAATGATGTATTTTCTAAAAAAAAAAACATGAAAAGAAAGAGAAAACAACTAGACCAAAATATAGGTGAAAGTCTAACCGTTTCAACTTGTAACTCCCTGTATTAGAATTTTACAACAGTTCAGTAAATGACAGAGTGCAAAAGGAAAAAAAATCTTCTAAATTATTTAAATTAAATTGATTTGATCGTATTAGTCCCATGAAGTGTATGCAAGACTCCCAGTGTGTCATTTTACCAACTAAAGCAACAATGATCAATTCTCACAAGCATATATGTCCGAAATCACTTAGTAAGTTCTCAGTCTTCTATTGGGTTCGATATATATATATATCCCGTGATACAACAGATTTTTCACAATTTGAAAGCATGGAAGAAAATTGAAATCGAGCATGTTATATAATTGATAAAAGAAAACACAAATGGGCTGTAATACATGCAATGCAATGCAATTACTGGCAGATATGGCAATTATTTGAGACGCTCATGCTTCAAAGCAAGACACAAACTGCGGGAATCAGATACATGACAAATTCACCATTGTAAAAGAACCTCATATCTCTGAATATAATGATCTAAAATAAAACCCAATTTGGAAGACGAACCAGCCAAGTAATCGCAGTAAGCACTGTATGGAGAAGGAAAAACATATATAAAAAAATAAAAATAAAAAAATAAAAAAAACCTCTAATTTAGCTCCAGATTTCAGGTCACAAGATGGCAGCTCAAAAGCAGGTAGGGTTGGTATTCCTCGATTCTTCTTCTCTCTCTTGCGATATTTTCAAGTATCTTCTCTCTATCGGCAGCAACTTACAACTGGGTAGCTCCCTGTAATTAGGGTTCTGAATCGATATCCATTTCAATTTTGATTTCACAATTAAACCCTAAATTGAGATTTAACTCTCTTCATCATAACATTTTAAAAAACATTTAAAAGTCCCGCACTTGCGGCCTACTGGCTACCCCTTTTGCGGAACGTGCGTAGGAATAGTTAACCTGTATCAAATCTCAAGTTCCTCCTCTCCGGAAAAGTTTCATACTATTTAAATAAAAAAACATTTAAAAGTTAAAAAATTTAAAAAAACTTATTAAAAATTTTTTTAATTAATTCGCCCCTCCAAAAATTTTAGGTGATTCAAAAAAAGATGGTTCTAAAAAAAAAAGGTGATAATACATGAGTTTTATATTTATTAGTTAAATTTTTAAAAAAATTAAATAAATTTTTTTTAAAATTATGTCATTTTAATCCAACATTATATAAAAAAGATTAAAATATTTTTATATTATGTCATTTTAATCCAACATTATATAAAAAAGATTAAAATATTTTTATTTCTACTTTTAAAAAAATTAAGATATTTTATTTTTTAAAGACTATAAAAATGA